CTCTTCTTTTATGTCTTCATCAAATAAAGATTTCTTCTTGCTGATCAAAAAAAAAAAATATATATATATATATATATATATAATCTATTTATCTCATTTATCCATATTAGTTATATGAGATAATATCTGATATCTATATCATCTATCCATATCAGGATATGATAGATATATATCCTAAGTGGCTATCCAAATAGGTTTGAATTCAAATTCAAAACCCATTTGGATAAGGTTCAAAAGGCTGAAAAGGGTCATGCCACATGGGCGCCCATTTCCAACAGTTCCAATGAGTAGGTTTACAAGATCAAAGCTTCAACATTCTGCAAAATTACTCTGGGGAGCTCAAACTACTTGTTCTCAAGTGCCCTACAACTGAAGTGAATTTAGTGTTAGATCACTAGGTGGACTTCTCAACTTTTCCTTCTCAGATAGTTCATATGATATAAAGTTCAACTGTTTTTACTGAAGATTTACCCACCCGTAGTTGTCGTAACAATTATTGCAAAATTCGAGTTCATTAACAAGCCATGTATTTAATACAGTTCACCATTCAATATCCTTCCCATATGTATAATTCTAATTGTGCCTAAAGCCCTCTCAATTAATACAATAGATGTTGATTTTTAACTGAATTTTTATGGGGAATTTGCATTTCAGTGGAACAACAGAGAAATAATTTCATTTTCATGGTGGTGCAAGTCTATTCCAGTGTATGGTGCAAGTCCATTCGTCCAAGTCGCACCAAAAAATATTCTCATTTATAGTACAATTATTTTATGATTGCCTCATCTATTTGCAATTTACCCTATTTTTATTTTTCATTTTTCTGGTGATAAAGGAATACAGTCAATGATGAACATTCAGGATGAAAATGATTCATCATGTTTTAATTGTCTATAGGTCATATTAGCTGTCTGGGATGATGATGGTTTAATTGTGATTACATGTGTCAATTAATCTGTAATCAAGGTTTTAAAAAGCGGTCGCAACTGTTATGTAATGCCGTTACATAACGGTTGTGGTGGTTATCGCCACTCATTGCGGCCACTTTTGCAATGCGATTGAGATTCACAGATGTGTCGGCCGTAACGACTTCTGTAGCGGTTGTAATGGTGCCGTAACAGCCGTAACAGCCTGTTACGCATCGTTATGTAATAGTTCCGAACTGCTTCTTTCGAAAAAACACACAAAAAAACAAAAAAAATAAAAATAAAAATGAGAGAAGAGAGAAGAGGGAAGATAAAGAGAGATGATGGAGGAGCAAGAGATAGAGAGAGAGAATAGGGAAGATGATGAACATGCTATTATCACTCAACCATTTTGTTTGTGTGTGTCTATCTATATATACTGTTTGAAAATAATAATAAGTGTGGTCAATATCTATTTGGCTTGGTTAAAATACGTATATATATATATATATATATATTTAGGTTCTTATTTATTCTCTTACTTTTGTCATTGTTTATCTTATATATAATAGTTAGTGATTGATTTTTTGTATAATATAAAGTCATTAATTATTAAAATAAAATGTAAAAAACTGAGTTTATAATGATTTAAAAATATGAAATATATTGGATCATACTTAAAAATTTACAAAAATTGATCAATATTTATTTTAAACCTAATAAATATGATGATGGAAAAAAATATAGGTATCGGTAAGTTTTTTTTTCAAATTGTGCGAAAAATAAAAAAATTCACGGTTCCGGTTGCCACAACGGTTACGTTACGGCTTTTACACCCCGCAACCGCAACCACACCACCGCCACCGTTACAGCAACCACAACCGCTTTTGAGAACCTTGTCTGTGATTGTATAGAATGGGAAGGAAATTCATGGTGAAAACTTGACACAAAAAAAGGTGGAAATGGAAAAGATGATTGTGTTTATTGCCAAATATCATTGCATTAATGCCTGTTATTGTTAGTCATGTAAACATGCACCTGTGGATTTAAAACGTTGATTATAATTATAAGAAATTATGACCTTCTGCTACTGATTTCTGGACTTCCATATAAGAGAACAATTTTATAGTTTATGTGATATTGGAAAAATAATTGCATATCAGAATAGACTCTAATGCATATAGTACATAACAAACATTAACTGTAGTACACCAATATCTAGAGGTGTAGGTGCCCTTTACAACAAGAACGGATAGATAGATCATAGATAGATACTGTTTTTATAGAGAATCTGAACACAACATTTTTATTTGCATTACATAAAACGTTAACTGAAAGTTCTTAACTTGCACTTCAACAATAGAGCTTGGAGAAACCAGAATACTCTGAAGAAAGCTGAAGTAAGTTGTTCTGGGTACTTGGAAGTTCACTCCTAAAACATGGGCTATTGCTTGAACTGGCCCGGTATTTTTGAGATTACTTGAGTAGTTATAGATTATGACTCACTGACTTCTCTAGATCATGCCTGCTGTAAAACATGACACAAGATATCAAATGGATTATCTCTGTTTCAGTAAAGTTAGTTCATGAATTCTGAAAAACGATGTATTATCTCTGTTTCTGTAAAGTCAGTTTATGAATTCTGAAAAACGCACGAACACAGTGTGTGTGTGTGTGTGTGTGTTTGTGTGTTTATGTATGTATATAATATAAAGGCTTTTCAAAATAGAAGAACTTTGTAGTTACCGCAGTGGTCACCATCAGCTACAAGCTTGAATGGATCTTGCATGAGCAAAAGCTGCTGATGTATGCTTTAGATGGGATTCATATTTGGGTATCGGCATGACTTTCTCAAAAGCTTCCACAAGTAATGACACTTTCCTCTTCCGTGCAGGGGCAAGTTTGGTAACAGCCTGTCGTAGTGCATAATCAAGCATCCATTCTTCTGAATTTTTCTTTTCATCCACCATTTGATGCCTGAGATCAACCTTTTCGGCTTCTGGGTCAGCCTCAATGGGCAAGTAATTTGGTTCCCGTGGGTTGAACTTCCTTGCTTCCTCCGACTCCTCAACAGGCCTTTTGCATCTGATTATCCTCAGATTATTGATAGGGTCCTTGGGCAGTTTTTGACTCGAATGGTTTCTGCCGTGGAAGAATGCGACTTTTGCTTGTTTGCTGGCTGCTTTTTTTGATGATGGGAAGCTTTCTTTTGGATCTGACATGGTTGAATGCTCCACTTCCATTTCATTATCATCTTCGCTGCTATTTTTGGCTACACTGACTTTATTGAGCTCCCAATGAATTTGATCTTCTGAATCTATGGAATCTGAGATTTTGAAGCTCTGAGCTTCATGGTCTGGGTGGTTCTGGTCTTCAACATTGTTGTTGGTCTGAGACTCCCTAGCAGATGAATGAACCAGGGTTTCAGCAGGCAGCCCTTCATCTACAATAGTTTGATTTGCTTCACCATCTTCGGCTATGACACCAAATTGGATTTCATTATCATCTTGCTTAGTCATATCCTGATGATCTTCAGATAAACCCTGCAGCATTTCAGAAGTTGGGATTCTAATCAGTGATTTGGCTGCACCCTCTTGCTCTTCCTCTTCGTTTTCTTCTTTTGTTCGATCTCCAGCATCAGCAGTAGGGAGTTCCTTTTCTAGGCTCTGGTTCATTTCTGGACCCTCGGTCTTGGGTAGAAGGCTTCCAACAAATGCCTCTTCTCTAACAGCATTGGATTGGTAAACTTCAGTGTTGTTGTCACTGGAACTGTAATCCTCATGTGTTTCATCATGACCTGGTTCAGTGAAATCATGACAAGAATCACACTCTTGGTTCCCCAGCAAAGCACTTGGTTTCTCAATTGGCTCTTCAATGGGTGACAAAGTGATCGCAGTGTCGTATAACTCAGCATTTCCATCTCTTTCTTCTATGGTTGATTCCCTGAACACATCATAAGTAGAAGAAACTAGGTAGTTTTGGTTATTGAACTCTTGCATCGATTTATCGGCTCCCAAATGCTGATATGAACCCTCAGAAACAGAACTGCTGTTACCGCACCCACCTCCAGAGCTTGCACCTTCTTCCTCAAGGAATTCTTTTGGGCCTTCATCACCAGAAACATCATCAAAGTAGCTGCTAACAATTTCGGCAGACTTGAAAATGGGTTCGTCATGCAAACTAGAATTATTAGCACCAAATGAAGAATAACTACTAAAATTATATTCATTGTTTGTTTGAGTTGAGTTTGCAACTTCATCATTCAGAGATGGGGCAGAGTATTGGCCCTCCTCCCATTCCATATCACAAATTTCAGACTCTGTTTCATCGAGTTCAGTGCTTGCTGGGCTTTCCATTTTGAAGTCACTCTGATTGGTCGGATACTCTGGTGATTCTTCCTCTTCTTGAGTGGAAAAAGGCGAACGTACTTCCTCTGCTGCTTCCATTCCTGTTGAAATGAGTTCACTTGTGTTATAAAGATTGTCCTCAAAATCAATCTCAGAATGAAGAGGTGCCTCATCTGAGAACATCTCAACTTGTCCTCCGCCATCATGTTCTGCTGCTGTTTCGTTGGTTTCATCCTTGTCTTCCCCTTTTTGTTTGCTTCTTCCACCAGTAGTTTCAGCAGCGTCTTCTGTATCTCTAGCATAGATTTCAATAAAGTAATCCATTTGATCATCCTCTTGTATCAGAGGATGGATTGTTGGGCTATTTGAATCAAGTTCTTCTTGAATTGAAGGTTTCACATCAAGTGTAATATGCTCGGGAATCTCTTTCGCCCCACCACGGGTATCAGAGGATGGCCTAGCTCGACGTGGCCGTGGGGATAGACATCCCAATTTTTTCATTCTCTTCTGGGTCTTCAACATATGTCTCCTTGCCGATAAGAAGCACTTAAGTGGAGGCAAAGGAGCATGGTGATGACCATTAAGAGAACAGTATGTGTATGGGCAGACCTTCATGACTGAGGTCCCTTGTGATTCAGTTGCCCCAGGACTGAGATCAAGGTAATTGGGGAACTTGGAATCCTTTAAAGTTGAAGAGCATGTTGATCTCTCTACTTGTAGATTTTCACAAAGAACAGCCTGTGAACACTTTCTTGTGGAAGCCCTTGCTGGTTTGAAACTGGGAGTCTTTATTAAAGTCCTGACCAGTTTCAAACTAGATGTCCTGGATAATGTTTTTGGCAGCTTATGCCCAGAAGAAACTGAGCTAAGTTTGGAGGAGGAGGAGGAGGAGGAGGAGTTTGGAGTAATCTTTTTGGGGCTTTTATTAGGAGATTGAGACTTCTGGGAACTTACCTGATGATGAGTGCGCTGCTGCTGCTGCTGCTGCTGTTCTCTCCTGGCATCAAAACTGCTTGTGGACTTCATGTAATTTGGCGATCCATCCAAGGAGCCTTTGATAGCAGCAGATTGCTTCTGTGCTGGAACATCAAGAGGTGGTGGTGGTGGTGGTGGCTTTCCTGGTTGTGGTATTTCTCTTCTGAAAGTAGGTGATGATCTTAAGCTCTCAAAATCGGAACAACGCTTGAATGATCTTGATTTCTTCATTTTCTTCTTTTTCAGGTCAGCTCCCCTGTTCTTGCCATCCTGCTGATGATGAGGAGAAGGTGGTCTATGCTTGTCAGATTTATTATTGACACCATCAACAGCTTGGATGCCAATTAGCAGCTTGCTGGCCACCTTTCTTTGGACCATCTTCAAAGTAAAACCAGAGGCATAAGAAACAATGGAAGGAGTTGAGCAATTTGTTGTGGGTTTTCTTTCCTTTTGGGATTGGAGTTGGGAATCCAAGAAGCTATATTGAAGAAGAAGAAAAACATATAATAGTTTTCTTGTGAGTTTGGTTTAGTCTCAAGACTCTTAGGTCTTAGGTCATGTTTGATTCACAAGATTAATATTGAATTATTAATAATTATATTAAATTAGTGTGGTAATTATCATTCAATTGAATTAATATTCATTGGATTAATAATCTCATCCCTATCTCATTACTAATAATCCTACAAATTTGTTAGATTAATTATCCATTGGATTAATAATTTTAAACCAAAATATTAAAACAAACATAGGATAATTGGGCCCACAGATTAATAATTTTAATCCCATACTCTAATCCATCCGATCAAATATGCCCTCAAGGTGAACCATTCAACGGGGAAAGGGGAGAATTGTTGAAATTGCAACAACCAGAGGAGATTCCAAGTCTGTCTACATTGGGTGGCTGTTTTTTTGGTTTTAGGCTTCGTTTGGGAAGCGATTGGTTTAGTTAAAAAGTTAAAAAGTCAACAATTCATATTAAAAAATTAAAGATTCTCTTTTCTCTCCATTTTTTATATATTTTTTCATAAAAAATTAAGAAATCATCTTAAATATATTAATTTTTTTTAATTCATATTTTAATTAAATAATCAAAAAATTACTAAATTAACCCGTTCCTAGACGATCGCATAGTTTTCATTGGGGTTTTGGAAAAATTACTAAATTAACCCGTTCCTAGACGATCGCATAGTTTTCATTGGGGTTTTGGAATAACAGATTTGAATAAGTTCCTGATAAGAGAGTTTGATTCTGACCCTTCACTAGTGGCAGTTCTTGGGGGACCCTCTTTCTTTTTGATATTTTTCTATATTTTGAATTATTGTCATTATCTGCGTCAACCAAACTATAAAATACACAAATATATATACTTCCATCTATCTTATTTCTTATTGCTGGAGGCATTTAAAGTATTTGTGATGACACATCCTTGGCCTTGCTTCTGTGTAAATTGCGTATTTAGCCATTGTTTCGATAAGTTTGATGGGTAGATATACCTACCCACAAAAACAATTAAAAATTTAAAAAAAAATTAATTATTTTTTTTACATTTTTATGAATATTGAAAATAACTTTAACTTCGCGGTTTAAAACAATAGGGGGAACATATTAAAGAAAGAAATTTTGTTAGCCTTCATGTTATCTTTTATTCTTTAGTCTCATGAAATTAAATTTAATCAGTGAAAAGAAAATGTTATTTGTGAGCAGTTGTATATCATTATTTTATTTTATTTTTATTAGCAGCTCCTTTAGTTTGTCACAAAATGTTATTTGAAATTCAAATGTTGTGTTGCTCATTTGTCAAATTTTATTTACCGACTTAATTTTGTATTGTCTGAACCAAGATGGTCCATCTTGATATACCCACAATAATATTTTCTATACAAATTTCAATTCATAAATTTATTACTAAGCATAAAGCATGTGAATATGCTTTGCATATTTTATGGCTTATAAATTCTTTGGGAAATTCTATTTACACACTACTCTTTATCTCAATACCTATTATCATCATAATTTTTTTAATTACATTTTTACGTCTTGAGAAAATTACATTTTTATGCCTAAATCTATTTCTCAATGCACACCCCTACCAGCCACACCACCCTCGCAACCAACCTCTGCCACATTCACCATTGGAACTCGTTCCCTCCGCCACTATGTTTGTCACCCTGTCGCCATCCCTTCATTAACCCATTGACTGCCCCATCACCTCGTCACCGGTGGCGACACTTACTATAGCATTCTCAGCTCGATCACTGCCTCCACCGTTGCAACGATCATCCTCAGTGACCCACCACCTACAACATTCACCATTGCGCCTCCCTTCATCATTGTCGTAATCTGCACATACACACACAGATTTGTATTTGATGTAAGAAACTTAGGTCACGTTTGTTTCGCGGTGTAGGAGGTTGGATTGGACTAGCAACACTGTGGGTCCTACCCACAACGAGTTTGGTGATGGTTTGGGTGAGCAACTTGATACTCCAATCGGCTTGGGTGAATTTTTTGTAGGATTAGGAAAATAGTGAGGGGATTGAGTCTATTTTATATAATTTTTTTTTTATTTTTTTATTTATCAAGTGCAACTATTTGTTTTAGTTTTTTTTTTAGTATAGAAATAATTTATTTATTTATTTTATATAAAAATAATTTAACAATCCCATCACTAACTATCTCCTACACTATCATCAAACAAATATACTTTTACTTAATCCCTTCACTAACAGTCTCCACATTAATAATCTCTTCACTAACAATCCTCACACTAACAATATCATTCAACCTAATCCGCCGAACAAACGTGACTTTAGGGTTAGGGTTTCAGTGGGGTGAAAAATAAAGGAATGAGGTTAGGGTTTACAGGAAGGGAAAGAGGAGATGATGGCAGTGATTAGGGTTTCAGAGGGAACCAAAAAATGGAGATTATGAGGGAAGGGTTCGCAAGGGGTTGAGGGATTCACGGTAGTGGGAGAAGCTGTGGCTTAGTGATCACGGGAGTGGATGAGGGGCTAGGGACAGCTGACTAACCTGGTGGCAGAATGTGCAGAGAAAGAAAGATTGGCTTGCTATGGAGGAGACGACTGCAATAGGAGAGTTGGTGGTGGCTGTGGCAACGAGGGCTGGGAAGGGATGGTAAGATTGACAAGAGGAAAGGGAGGTTGTGGAGGGGGAGGACAACCAAAGAGTAAGGAATGGCCATTGGCTGTCGGCGACAGATGGTGGAGGTGGTTAGGATTTAGGGTTTTGTTGAAGAAGATAGAGGATAGTTTGGTATTATTTAAAAAAAAAAATGGTGATCTGTATTGAGAAAAAAAAAATTAAAAAAAAAATCTAAATTGAATGTAGTGTGAATTGAGAGAATGGTGTGTACTGAGAGACTGGTGGTGTCCAAATAGAATTGCTCAAATTCTTTAGGCCCCGTTTGTTTTCAGAGATAGAATGGAGGGGATTCATAGTGAGGGGATTAATAGTAATGGGATTGTTAGTGAGGGGATTAATAGTGAGGGGATTGATAGTGAGGGGATTGACAGTGAGGAATTGTTAAATTATTTTTATATAAAATAATAAAACAAATAAAAAAATATAAAAAATTAAACATTACATTTTAAAAAAAATTCCCAATATATAAAAAATAAAAAAAATTCTAATCCCCTCACTATTTTTCTAATACCATCTCTACCTCCTCCTTACCAATCCCTCTGCCCAAGGGGACTACAAATACCAAGGGATTAATAGTTTCCTCCCCATCTCTCAAAACAAACACCCCATTAGTAATACCAAGGGATTAATAATCTCAATCCCCTCCCCATAGAGAAACTTACATATAGATCTTACTAAGTAAACTTATTGTCTAATAGGTCTTATGATAATAATAACATTTTTCATTAAACATTATTAAAAAAGCGTCACTAATTGTTAATTTTTCGCAACAGTTTACAAATTTTGTCACAAAAAAGTCACTAATTATAAATTTTAGTTACATTTTAAAAAAATCGTTACCAAAAAAAGTTACTAATTTGCTACTTTTAATGGGAATTAAAAAAATTTGTCACGGAAAAACGTCACTAATTATAAGTTTTAGTGACAGTTTATGAAAATCGTGATTAAAAAATGTCACTAATTGTCAATTTTTAACGACATATGTAAAAAATTGTTACAAAAAAATTATTTTTAATGACAATTTTATTATGACTGATTTTCAATAAGATTTTATAAAAATTAAATTCAAATATTAAGGGTTGGTTTGGGGTGTCTTAAAAAAGTGTACTTTTTGTCTTTTTATGAAAAGATGTGCAGAAAAATAGAGAAAAAATATAATAAAAAAAAGATAAAAAAAATAGATTATGCCAAACCAGGCCTAAGATCTGTTGATAATTTACCCCATTCATCTTTATGTTATCATGATTTGCCCGTGTGAGTAGGCGTGCAGCGTGAGTTTCAGAGTCTCTATGCACATTTGACCGTACAAAACATTGTTCTTTCATACTATTAATTAATGTATGTTCTTTAAGACGAGTATTCTGATACACTCCCTCTTTTGGGTGTCCCACGTGCCCCAATTATGAGATTTGGTAAAATGCTTCGCCTGTTCTCGTTTTGGTACAAGATTTGCTGAATTCTGGATTTGATATTGATTTGGTGAAACCATTGGAGCTCAAAAAAGTGACTTTTTCACCAAATTTTGAATTTGATATCAGGTTTACTGAAGCGTTGGAGATGGTCTAAGACGAGTATTCTGATACACTCGCTCTTTTGGGTGTCCCACGTGCCCCAATTATGAGTTTTGTTTTTTTTATTATAATTTATTATGATATTAATTATGATATGATTATAATTTATTGCGATCTATTGTTAATGTTATTTTGATTTTAATTAAAAAAATAGTTATATCATATGTTTTGTTTACGATAAATTATTTTTTTAAATTGATTGAAAAAGACTCTTCTAAAAAATATGTACCATAACATGAAAACTTTAAGAGAGTGACATTTTAACCTTATGAAGAGAAATTAATTCTCTTTATTGGCAAAGATTTCAAATAATTTCATCATCTCTGTATTATTTGATGCAAAGAGATTTAATTATTTTGATGAAAAAATTCGAGATTGGGAAAAAAAATTAGAAGGCATTAAATAGATAAATAAAATAAAGTATAAAATAATTATATATATATATATATTTTGTACTCACTTTTATACAAAACATATAATGTTTTTAAAATTCTTAAGATATATTCTCTACACACTAGTTAACATAAACCCATTTAAAAATATTTTATTGCATTGAAATAGGATTCTCCGATTCTCATTTGGACTAGAGAAAAAATGATCCGAGCCATTCATTTTTTAAGACTCCTCGTGTATATTATTTATAAAAAAAATTAATTTTTTTTAGGTTCCTGATATTAATAATTTTTTTTTTAGTTTCCTGATATTAAAATTTTATAAAATAAATGACATACAATATTTCCATAGTAATTAAGATCCCTCAATATTTTCACAGCGAAAATTCGATTCAGAGAAATTTGGCATGACTTAGAGAAATTTTATCCCGACTCAGAGGAATTATAATTTTCACAGAGAAATTTCTCTGATTTCTCTTTGATTATACCAGAGAATTTTCAAAAATTCTTTATGAAATCAGAGAAATTTTTTTTGTAAAAACTGAAATTTCTTTGAGTAGGGGGTCGATTCTCTAAGACGGACAAAATTTTTCTAAATTTAATTTTCTCTGTGAAAATGTTGAGGGACCTTAGTTAATAATATATATATATATATATTGGACTTCTCGTACTACACAAAGTTAGAAATGAATGATAATTCACTAATTTTTCATAAAATTTTTATTTTATCATATTTGTCTTAAAAAAATAAATAGTCTATTTTTAAAAATATATTTATTGTTTATTATTTTAGAAACAACTACAATATAATGAAAATATTACAATTATCACATTAATTTAATTTTTTTTTATAGATAATATACATAAAATCTAAAGTTATTGGAATAAGACTCGCAGTAAATTTACGAATTTTGATAGCTCCTCTCCGTCCACATGAGATGAGAATCGAAAAGATTCCCATCACTATTGCATTATATGTTAATAATTTGGCTCCAAGGACCCAAACCGATTCTCCTCTCTTTGTTTGGAACTTTTAGGTGCCTCGGCTTCGGGTAATGACTTTTAGGTGCCTCATTAGGACTCATGTTTTATCTTACAATAATGTTAAGTATCTTAAAATTTTATAATTCAAATGATTCAAATTATTCAAAATGACATCATTTTGAGTGTAAATGAGTATAAAACGACGTCGTTTTGATAGATTTCAGCCATTTAAATCACAAAAATTTAGACTACCAAAATTTTTCCTTTATCTTAACTTATTTCTCTTTTTTGGGTGTCAATCACTAGAAATTAAATGAGATTTCTAGAGTGATAAGAAATATTAGCAATGCCTCACAAAATGAGCAGCACAGGTTTCAGTTGACCATTTTTAAAATCAAACAATAAGATAATTAAATTTAAATAGAGCTGAGTTTCTCTTAAATTTAAAAATGAAATAAAAAAAACTTGAAGACATGTGAACTCAACCACAAATTCTACTCTGATGAGCCGAAATGATTAAAATTTTGGTTCTCTATTATTTTTAAAACTATCACAAGACTCGGGTTTAATTATTAATTAAAATATATAGAATGAGAAATTAGTCAGGGTGAAAGTCAAAACACATGGGTGTCAAAATAAATAAATAAAGGGACATTTTTGTAACTTGAAGATTAGAATATGGGCAAAGGATAAATTATAGAGATATTAAAAATTTTACTAAAAATTTTATCAAATGTCTTATATATATGTAAGACTCATGATTTCACGTGACTCTAACACTTGTATGAAATATTTAATAAAATTTTTAATATTTTTAATTATAAATTGATAGAAAAAAATATCGTGGAGGAAAAAGGTAATGAGTGGTATACTTGTAGTAGTGGGGGTAGTCGTAAATTGTAGAAGTGGAACCGACCAGAGGCAGGTTGTCGGTCGCACTTTGCTAAAAGAAAGACAAAAAGCAGCAGAAAGAAGAAAAGCCCAGTGGCCGGCTTTCAATGGACGGCCCATGTGGGCCCTACCTATCAAAGGAGCGTATGCGTAGCGCAAGGGCAATGCACAAATTGCATTATTATAGACGCTCCTCCTCTTCTCCACTTCAATTCAAATGCCATTTATTCATTAATAGGTTAAAATCAAATGTCCACTTCTCACCCCATATTTCAATATCACTTGACTTCTCAATTATGAAATCTTACATTTCAATTCTAATTACAAAAAGAGAAAAATTTATTTTATTTCTCAAATTATTACTCAAAAATTAATTCAACTATTATTCTTTTAATAGTATCAATTTTGTACTTAAATTATTCAATTTTGCATCAATTTTATATTTATTGTTAGCTTCTTTCTATAATGAAATAGAAGTTGATGTGATGTCAAAATTTATTTTGAAACTTCATTTTTACCTTTTCAAAGTATTTTTAAACTATCAATTAGACCACTAATATATATATATATATAATTAAATTTAAATATATAATAATAATTTTAATGTAAAAGGGTGACAAAAATAAATTTTAAATAATAATATTTACAAAAACATTATTTTAAAAATATGCTTCATTTAAAATTATCGCTTTAAATCTCAAATTACCTTGAGTCAACTCTTGAAAAATTAATTAAATCCAAAATTCTAAATCTACTTTTTTTCTCTCTCTCTCTCTCACAGCAATTGTAGCTAGCTTATCTCCCAGTTTAATCTTAATAGGATTGATCAATTAGTAGTAGGTGAAAATTGTGTGGGCAAAAATCTAGACCACACAATTGAAAAACAATATTGAATGATGAAATTATTATTAGAAGTTCAAATTTAATTTTTTAGATGAAAATTATTATTAAATATATAAATTTAATTATATATATCTAGGAGTCTAATTGATATTTTAAGGGTAAAATAAAGTTTCAAATAAAGTTTCGGTGCACGTCAACAATTTTCATTTGATTATCGACGACAACAGATGACAACAGGAGTAAAATTGATTCAAAATTGAATAGTTTAGATATAAAATTGATATTATTAACAGAACTATTATTAAATTGATTTTTTGAATAATAGTTTAAGGGATCAATAAAATTTTCTCTTACAAAAATGTATCACTTTTACTCTATCCAAACTACCTTAAAAAAACGGTATATTTGTATAATTTTCAAAATTAAGAGGGCCAATATATATATATAAGGAGAATAAATTGATATTCACCTATAGTAAAGAGAGTTTAACCATAATTTTATTGTGTTTAGTAGTTGGCTCGGAAAAGTAATGAAAAATTTGTAGGGTACTGCTATAACTGAGAGCTTCTCTCTCTTCTATGAGGGTCTCCCTGCCTTAGGGCAGTATCTGGGTTTCTCCGTCAGTAGCCCTCTATCAGTCACTCTTTCTCTCTTTGTTCTCTCCTTTCTCCCTCTAGTCCACCTTTTTCATCGATTCGGCTCCTTCTCTGCCCCCTCCTCTTCGCTTCTAACCTTTTTCTCCTCTCTCCATCCCTTACCCCCTTCTTTACTTCCGTATGGCTTCGATAAACAGTAACCCTGAGGTTAGCGACGAGCTGACTCTCGAGGCTGGTGGATGCGAGGTTGAGATTGTCTCCAAGTTTTGTCTTATTGGGAAAGTCCTCGCACCCAAAATCCTAAACCGAAATGCAGTCTCCTCCATTCTCAACAGTGCATGGAAACTGCGAGGTACCCTGAATATCTCCCCTTGGTCTGATAATATTTTCCTTTTCCATTTTACGGAGGCGGAGGACCGCAACCGGATCCTTTTTTAGAGTCCTTGGTCCATTATGGGTTCCCTCTTGGTTCTTCGTACTCTATCGGCCGGACAAACTGCAGCTGAAGTTGATTTCAATTGGTGCTCTTTCTGGGTACAAGCTCATGGATTGCCGTTCCATAATATGACGAGGCAAACCGTGAGATTTTGGGTCGGCGAGTTGGCCATCTGGTCCATGTGGAAGCACAATCTGACGATTTACTCCTCAATCGGAGCTTTCTCCGCCTTCGTGTGGTTATTAACCTTCAAGAACCCCTCCCTAAGGGTGTTTGGCTCAAACGCCCACAGGGTAGCTCGGCGATTTGGGTTTTTTTCAAGTATGAAAGGCTTTCTGACTTCTGCTATAACTGTGGGAGGATTGGCCACGACAATAAGATTTGTAAATTTGTATCTAAGGAGCAAGGCCTAGCATCTGGCTATGGTCCAGAGCTTCGAACTGGGGCTGTTAAAAGCTGGGGACTGCAGGCTGATCAACTTATCAGGACGGAGGAGGAGATGCTTGTTAGGGCCAGTCTTCCCTCCAGTCACCGGAATCAGTACTCTGCTTCACCCTCCTTCGCCTCCACGGCGGCGCGTACTCTACCGGGCCACCAAGACCCAGTACCGCATTCGTATACCCCTTTCTCTGGTACAGACTTGTGCGCACGATCCTCTGCCTTTCCAGAGACAGATGGTAGTGTCAGCTCGGGTACAGGTGGCATTCTCTCTACTGAGCCACCTGGCTTGACCGTTATTGATATACCTCCAAGTCTTCCTAGTATTGAAGGAGACAAAATTTTCTTGTCCTCTCAGCCTCCCCACCACACTGCTGATTCTTCTTCTCTGGACCTGATAACCAAAGTTGGGCCTGCCCTGGAGCGATCCACTTCTGCCTTGAGGTCCACTTCTCCACCCATTGGGCCTGCTTATTATGTGACAGAACCACCAGACAGCCCACGTACCTCGACCCCTACTCCCCCCTCTGGCGAATTGGGCCTCTCACTCCAAACCCCTGGCCCTCTTCCACAACCACTGGCCCCTTCTTATGCTCTGGATTCATGCCTTTCCAAAGCTCTTAAATCCCTCTCCCTCAAAAGGAAAGACCCTGCAGAAATTCAACCCTCACCTCGACCCTCCAAGCTGTTGCGTTATGATGCACCCTCCTCAGTGGTCCCTCACATCTCTGAACCACCCTCACCTTCTCTGCTTGAAGACATTGGTCTTTACTCTCCTGGGCCACCAACCGCCAGACAGCCCACTAATGCCCCAGCTCGTCGTCGAGGCTTTCGGGTTTCTCGAAGGCATACTCTGGTTGAAATTGCGATTGAAGAAGCTGGTATTCACTCAGATAAGGCAGCTCTCTTGACCATACCGGTAAGTCCATGTACCTCCGGAACTGACCTCTTAGACTCATCTCCTTCTATTTCTACTCAGCTTGTGATTCCGTGTGTTGAGGCGGTGATGGCTGGCCCTAAACAGCCATAAGGTCCATGTTAATCCTGAGCTGGAATTGTCAGGGGGTGGGGCGACCCCTGACATTCCAGATCCTCCAAAGGTTGTGTCGAACCCATCGTCCTCAAATAATTTTCCTCATGGAGACGAAAAATAATCAATTGAAACTGGAAGCTCTCCGACGGCGGCTCCGGTATCCAAATAAAAGTTATGTGGACCCTGTGGGCCTTTCAGAAGGTTTAGCTCTGTGGTGGTTGGATGAGGTACATCTACAGGTTAGTTTTAAGTCGGCAAATCTCCTTAATTGCCATGTCTCTGATAATCTCAATCATTCCCCGTGGCTAGCTACTTTTGTTTATGCGCCCCCTAGATGGACGGACAGGAGGGTATTCTGGCAAGTATTACAGGCAATTGCACAGGACACCCATGATCCTTGGCTTTGTATTGGTGATTTTAATGAAGTGGGGCTGTCTTGGGAGAAACAAGGAAGAGTTGCTTGTAATCGTGCGAGGATAGAACATTATCAGAGGTTCTTATCGGAGTGTCAACTTATGGATCTTGAATACAAACGCACCCCTTATACCTGGACTAATAACCAAAAAGGCATCTGCAATGTAAGGGAGCGGCTGGATAAAGCTTTGGTAACTGTTAATTGGAGACTTTTATTCCCCTATGCTCAAGTTCATCATGAGCTCTTTCTAGGCTCGGACCATTGTCCCCTACTTCTTCATTGCCAAATTCCTCCAAGGAAAGTGCCCCACCAGTTCAAGTTTGAGTCTATGTGGACAACCCATCCTGAGTGTGAAGAAATTATTAAGGCAAACTGGATGAAATTCCAACCAGGTTCTCCAATTTCTAAAGTTTGTTTCAAGCTCCAAGCCTGTCAAAGAGGCCTCTCTGAATGGAGTAAGCTAGCCTTTGGAAACAACTGAGCAAGATTGACGGCTCTGAAAACCAGACTTCATCAACTACAGCTTCTCCCCTATTCAGATTCCAACGACACCCATATTCGACTCGTGCAAGCTGAAATTGAGATGGTTTTACTAAGGGAAGAAATGTTCCAACACCAGAGGTCTCGGATCAATTGGCTCAGTTATGGGGATCGTAACTCGGCTTTCTTTCATGCTTCGGTTGTCCAGCGTAGGCAGAGAAATCAGTTGGTCAAGCTCAAACTAGATACTGGCGTCTGGTTAGAGACTGATAGTGCCATTAATGATCATCTCTCCTCTTACTTTTCTCACCTTTTTCAAGCAAAAGGACCTAGAAATTTTGAGGACGCTTTGGCAGCGGTGAATTTGTCTGTGACTCATTCGATGAATGAAGCTCTTCTTAGGCCAGTCGATGATGATGAAGTCAAGCTTGCAACCTTTCAATTGGGTCCTTTAAAAGCCCCAGGGCCTGATGGGTTTCCCGGTCTGTTTTATCAAAAGCATTGGCATGTGGTCGGGTCAGAAGTGTGCAAGGCGGTTCGTACCTTTTTTCATACTGGTTGATTGCGCGAAGGTGTAAACCACACTAACCTTATCCTTATCCCCAAAGTGCATGCCCCGGAAAAACTAAGTCAGTTTCGGCCTATCAGCTTGTGTAACTTTTTCCTGAAAATCATAACAAACGTGCTGGCCAACCGATTAAAGGTCTGTATCAAGCAACTTATCTCCCCTCAGCAAACGGCTTTTGTGCCTGGCCGCCTCATCCAAGATAGCATTCTAATTGCACACGAGGCCTTTCACTTTTTAAAACATAAGAAGCAGGGGCGCAGGGGTTCTTTGGCTCTGAAACTAGACTTTAATAAAGCTTATGACCGCATTACTTCTTACAAGCTACTCTTCTTCGTTTGGGATTTCATCACAAATGGGTATGCTTGGTAATGGAATGTGTGACAACAGTGGAGTTCTCAGTGTTCGTAAATGGCGAGAAGCGCACCTCATTTACTCCTTCATGTGGGCTTCGTCAAGGTGACCCACTCTCACCATATTTGTTCCTCCTGGTTGCTGATGTGTTGTCTACTTTACTTCATCAAAGTCTTCTTTCCAATGCGATCTCGGGAATCCGGATGCGTAGGACTTGTCCCCCGCTATCACATCTATTTTTTGCCGATGACGCCATTATTTTCTTTAAGGCTGAGCATTCTGAGGGTCTTCACATTCTGGATATTTTACGGGTCTATAGTGAGGCATCTGGCCAAATTCTCAATTTTGATAAGTCTGGAGCTCTTTTCTCGGCTAACACCTCAGTCAGTGCTCGCCAGGCCCTGTGTCTTCTATTGGGTGTTTCTGAAGCTAATCCTAAAGCCAAATACCTGGGCCTCCCAGCCTCATGGGGCAAATCTAAGACTGAAGCCTATAGTTTTCTTTTGGAAAAAGCGTTGCTGAAATTACAAGGGTGGAAATCCAACTTATTATCTCCAGCGAGCAGAGAGACTCTCATCAAGGCAGTTGTTCAGGCTATCCCCTCTTACGCGATGGCATGTTTTGAGCTCCCTCAAGCGTTTTGCTCTAAGCTTAACAGCTTTTTTCGTAATTTTTGGTGGAAGGGAGATCCGGAAAAAAGGGGCATCTGTTGGGCTAAGTGGACACATATGACTAATCCGAAATCGGAGGGGGGTATGGGATTGCGTGATTTTAAAGATTTTAACCTCGCCCTTCTGGCCAAACAGGGCTGGAGATTACTGTCTAATCCGGACTCCTATTGGGCTCGAATGTACAAGGGACTTTATTTCCCTCATTCTTCCTTCTTACAAGCTGCTAAGGGATCCAATGCATCATGGGCATGGAATAGTCTGTTAAAGGGTCGCGAGTTGATTCAGGCTGGTATTCGGTGGCAAGTACAATCTGGCCAGCAGATTCGTCTATGGGAGGATCCGTGGATTCCGTCCCTTAAAGGTTTCAAAATCCTTTCAGCAAAGCCCCCCACCTGCGATGTTCTGACGGTGGCCGACGTAATTGATCAAGTTCATAAGTCTTGGCATTTGGACCCACTGTTGCACTGTCTTTCCCCAGCCGAAGTTGCAGCCATATCAGTTATACCTATTGCCATGGAAGGACGTGATGATTCGGTCATTTGGCACCACAACA